GATTGACATGGATGGCACGCAGATGGCAACTCTAGAGGTAGATTACCGCTTTATGTTCTCTACATTTAAATGTTTGTAGGGGGGTTAGATTGGTGAGAAAATGCTGGAGGCTTTGTTACCACGCAAAATAAATAGTTTGCACTGGGTGGAAACCCAACCACGCGGGTTTCAGTTAGTCAGGAGTGGTGTGCTGCAAGCTCAAAGCGCTACTTAACCAAAGCTTATTGAAAATAGACCATGATATCGCATGTACACACGGCATGTTTCCTGTCTGCAGCTCATGCTTGCCTCAGATGAGAGCTTACTTTGGGCTTACTGCTTAGCTCTAAGCGGTGGGCTCAAATGTCTGGCTGGATTTAAATGTGTGGAAAAAAGCAAATACTTAGTCAGCAAAATGAGAAAAGATGCACAGCTGCTTCTTGGAACTCTCAACAAACATGTCCTCATCTGAAACTCACTTTCTGCTGACATCAGACAGCATATGTAATATATGTGCGCACACAAGGGTGGTCTGGGAGCTTGAGTGGGTGTGGGTGCATGTGTACATACGCAAGTGTGCGTTTTTGTGTAAAGGGTGTGGATGTACTGGGCTTTTGGGGGACTAATGCTACACCCTTTTTCATTAAGCTTCCAGTACCACCCAGCTGCAGTGCGTGTTTGGTCAATGGAATTCAGTGTTCAGTCTTCAGGGATGTGTTCTGTTTTTTTCCTTCTTGTCATAAGGTTAACATTAAAACTATGTTAATTCAAATAAATACACGACGTCAAACCATTGTGTAATATGTGTAATAGTTAACCTTCTAATTTAGACAAGCTGTTTGAATCTCCCAAAATAATAAAAGGCAGTAAACACATCGTGTCATATCAGGTTGTTTTACGTGCCTCAATCTCAATCTTACTTATTTAATAGAGAATTCTTAAGAAGCAGATTGATCCAAAATACTAAATCCGAGAAACAGCTCTTTCCTCTTATATTTTTCTAGTTAAGTCTAACAGCTCGGCTTGTACGGTTCATTTCTTAAAGTTTAGTTCAGAGAACCGCTGCTTGGAAATGGTGCTGTAGCAATCATTTCATTAATTAAAAATGGCATCCAAATTAAACTCTGAGAATTGAAAAACATGATGTTGCAAGTGCATGGTTTGCAGTGAATGCTTGTCCTTTTCTTTTCCATCCCCTCCCAGGCTAAGACGTCAGCAGATATGGGTCACTGGCTGGGACTCTTGCTGTCACAGACGGGAAGCAAAACAGATCCAGAGGAGCTGACATACGACTATGTCAATGCTGAGAGGATCTCCACTATTGTCAATGCTGCGAGGACTTCCTTATAGTAAGTTATTCGCTTTTGTTCACCTCAATATGCAGATTTCCAGCTCCATATCTTATTCTTGGACTTTAGTAGAGTGGTTCTGCGTCATTCACAGTTTGAAATAATCCTCATTTATCACGCATTGATCTTTGGTCCAACTTTGCTTTAAATGGACCGGTGCTTAAACGGCGCATTTCTAGTCTATTTGAGCACTCAAAGCACTTTCTTACTACAAGAGTCATTCACCCATTCACACATATGTGCTTTATTCTATGCCAAATCACCTTTAATCTAACATAACACACTCACACTTCAATGGATGCATCAAGGGAAACTTATATTCCCCGAGGAAGACATGCAGAATAGAGGAGCCGGAGGTCAAACCACCAACCTTATGATTGGTAGACGGACCGCTCTATCTTTCAATCCACAGCCACTGCTTTAAAACTGTCTTTCTTCTGATTGGTCAGTCCTCACAAACAAAACATTTGAACTGCAGCTGCTGTGTCACAGCCAGAACAGTGCCCTAGATGACCAAAATAATAACATCCCCTTTGACATCATCCAGATACAAGAGTATATAAAGCTGTCTAAATGCCGGTGTTTTAAGCAGTCTGAAGTCTGAGCTTTTGGAGAGGACTACCACTGCACAAGGTTATTTGTTATTGTGTGTCTCTCTAGCTTGATGCAGAGGAGGTATTCAGAGCCAAACACCTACATAGACACCCTACCTTCTATTTCTCACAACTCTGATGATCTGTACGATGATGTGGCCTCTATAGCTGACCCAGAGGTACGCTGTCACGAAACCCGATGCAATGTTTTGAGATTTTAACTTTCAGTTTAATATTGACTCAGTCATCTGGCCACAAGCCATCTCCTAATTTCCTCCTCTCGTGTCATACAGGATGCTGAGGAGAATAGCCAGACAAACTGCGAGGGCAACAATCTGCAGAAAGACAATGAAACATGCTCACAAGAGAATGCCAAGGGCCCACAGGGTACAGAACAAGACTCTGAAAATAGGATTTACCTAGACCTTGTCCCTGTGCGCTCTTTCCTTCATACATCCTCTGGAGGAAAACTTTCCCCTAAAGAAGCTTCGAGACATTCCCTAATACCAGCAGATGACAAGAAGGACTCCTCTTCTCAAGTTAAAGAGGTAGGAAATTAGAGTTTATTGACAACCTCAAACCTTTCTCTAGAAAATATTTTTTACTTTCCACATTAATAATTTGCGCATCATTTGGTTGCAGGGGACGTCGACTAACAATACTGAGCCAGATTCAATGCCCGCATTAAATGGGACAAACTTAGCCTCTGCTACCAGCAAACCAGAACAAGAACGAGCCCAGACTCCCACTCCATCACAGCCACAAACTCAACCAGTCAAGACCTCAACCCAGAGCCAAGAGACCACTAAGAAGACCAGCCTGGGAATCACACAGGCCTTCAATTCCTTTGGTGGACAAATCCACAAGGGTCCTCACACTGCTGCTGCGCGTCCTCATAGCCCACAACCTGCAAGGCCCAAGGCACATACTATAGGTCAGGACAAATGGGGCAGTGGGTTTGCTGAGTTCTGTATATATAAAAAAGATATAGCAAGCATGCTCTTCATTTTAATATCACCACACTCACCTTTTTACAGATATATTCAACAACTTTTCATCATGAAGCAGATATGTTAGAAGTACTTATTACTTTCCTTGACACCTGCTTCCTATTCTGTACTATTACATAACCATGGCTCCCTCTAGTGACAGCCTGCATCTTCTACAGTTAAAAGCACATCTTAAGATCTGGGCAAGTTTGTTTTTTCTTTTACGGTTATTAAATCTCTATGTCCTTTAAAATTATAAATGCTCAATTACCAGGATGTCCCGGTGCAGTTGAGATAAAGCTGGGCAAGAACCGCACAGAGGCAGACATGCGGCGTTACATCGACGAGCGTGATCGCCTGGAGAAAGAGAGGGAGGAGGTGAAAATCAGTCTGGCAAACTTCAAGAAAGAGAAGAGGGAAATCAAAGAGGAGCTCAGCACCTGCCAAGGTACACCTGCAGTGTCCGTATGACTCAAAGATTTGCATTGATCACATGGGAACTGACAGCAGTTTGTTGTCCTCAGATCCCAAGCAGCAGGCCTCATTGGAAGCCCGTCTGAAGCAGAAGGAGGAGGCGTGCCGAGAGGCAGAGCAGCACAGGGTGGAGGTGGAGCTACAGTTGGTAGAAGTGAAGGAAAGTCTGAAGAAAGTGGAGTCAGGGCCCTTCACGCTGGGAACCACACTGGACAGCAGCCTCCAGGACACGGCGATGGTTAGTGTGCTGGCTGTCTTTCTATACGCCTCAGAATCCATCTGCTAAATGTTTTCTGTGTTTTTCAAATCAGTGCGTGATGCTTGAAATGTGAACCTTAACCATCTCGCTGCTATTTTACCCTCAGCCTAAAGCATCAACGATAGGCTCTCCCCAGGTATCGTCATCGTCGTTGTCGTCATCATCATCATCATCGTTATTGTCACCATCATCTTCTTCCCAACCCTCCAGCAGCAACGTTAGCGCAGATTCAGTTTCCCCGGTCAATTCTGCGTCTGCTCTTAAAGGCAGACCCACCTCCATGATGACCACAAAAGGCAACGTCCTACAGAAAGCTAAGGTGAGATTCTTATTTACACAGAAAGCATCAATGTCAATATCTTATCTTGAAAGAAATATTATAATTGGTTAGGTCTATTTCTTTTTATATTGATAGGAATGGGAAAAGAAATCAACAACCTAAGAGGAAATCTTCATTGACCTCTGAAATTCAGAAGTTTATGTTGGTCTAGTCGCCCGTCACCACATTCTGACCCACCGAATGAGCAGACATTTTAATCAAGAACCTCCCTTCCCTCGGCCCTTCAACCAAACCATCACTTTGTCAAGACTATGATGAGCCACAGAGGCACACTTCGTGTTCTTGGATACCACTGGATTTAATCTTAAATTCAATGACTTTTTAAAGTTTGTTTCTATTTGCAAAGGGAGGAAAGTGACGAAGTAGCATTTTGGCCAGTGTAAGAAATGCATTAATGCTACGTTTAAACTTTGAAACGTTGAAATTAAAAACCACTGAAGTACGAGACAGAGGCCCCCTTACTAAATCAGCCACTCTGTACACAGATTGTAGCTTGGTTCATATATGCTGGTAGCCAAGATGTAAATATATTTACACCATTATTCAGCCTTTGGGCTTGTATTGCTAGCTAAAAATGCACTTTTTATTCAAATAAAAATATACTGACAAAAATATGGGTTGATTTTTTTTTATATATATATATAAAAATGTATCATTTTGCTATAACATGAATAAAGTCTTTACTTCTGTAAGGGGAAACATTTTTGTTTCCTTCCTTTAGTTTCAGATTCCTTCCCATCAATTCATTCAAAATGTACCTGCCATCTTCTCTTGAAATCCTCAATTATTTCACCCCTCACTGGAATATAACTACCTTTTGTATATTTAAATTTAACAATATGAATGTACTTTTTTCTTCCAAATGAACCTCGACCAGCTTAGTGGATTTGCGTGTAAAAATATGGAGCGTAATATTAAAAATGGAAACGGAGGGAGTGGGAGGACCTTCTTTTTGGTTATGTAAAGAAATAAAGTTGTGTCTATTATGCATTAAAAATATTAGGATCCTGACACTGATTAATAATATAAAAGTTTATATCCTTTAAATACAAGAGAACCGTGTTGAGACATTTGCACAACAGTGAGCACAGTGACAACAATAATAACATACAAATGGATACAGCAGTACAGACACTTGCTGACACTGTGTGCAACTGTAAACACTGAAGCAAAAAAAACAAAGCAACATATTTCCCTTTGCTCCATCGTCTACCTGCAAGCATCCTCGGTTCTTAAGTGTTCATATGTTCAGTGTATACTTTGTGTTTATAAGTGCAGGGCATGTCAGGGAGTATGTCTTCGACGGTGTAGTTTGTAGCGATGCAGAAGCTCCTGGTGGTTCTTCCTCTGCCTGCTCTTCCTCCTCAGACCAGCAGGTCTTGGAAAATCCCCTCTGGATGAAGACCTGCTGCTTCCTACAAACAAACCACACAACAAGTCATGACTTGTAACCAATTCTGTCCATTTACATTTACTGTTTAATTTATGAGCTTTTAATATGGGATCAAATGCTGTATCAGGATATCTATATCTAAATCAGTTTGTCTTTGTTTTTGCACTTAAGTTTTCTAGAAGGGACACTGACGAAGCTATGAAAAGTAGAAATTAAGGATATAAGGAAAGAAAACTTTCATGAATGTCACTGACTTCTTTCGCAGTGCAGCCCCTCATAGCCTTGGCACTGACAGCGAAAGCTCCCTTCTGACAAGATGCAGACCCCATTATTCATACATGGGTTAGGCTTGCACAGGTTTACAGGTTTCTTCACCTCTGAAAGGAAGGAATCAGCACAAAGCAGCCAATTATTTTTCATGTTAAGTTTAAAATAAATTATCTTACATCTCTGAAAAGGCTAAGTGAAGGGAAAAGAAGAAAAACTGTGTTTGCAGATCAGTTTCACACAGTTCCTTATCAACAGAAAAAAGAGTTTAGGAGGTTTGGTAAAAGACAAGTTCCCCTGCATCGTTACCTGAACACAGCATCTGCACCAGGACATCCTCAAAGTACTTGAGATCCTCGTAAGACGGCACTGAGATCATGTGCTCCTCTGCACCGGCAATCTGCATCAGCCTCTCCCTCTGGACATCTCCGATACCAACCACAAGCACTGAGACTCCATTGTCTCTTATCTTTTGAGCTGGTACGACAGCATCATCCCCACCGGTGCCGTCCGTCACCACTACTACAGCCTTGTTCACTCCCGGTCGTGCGCCATTAGCTATGGTGAGAACATTAGAGTGGATGTGCAGCAACGCCCCACCCGTCGAAGCCACTCCACCCACGTACTTGGCGTCACCTACAGCCTGAATGATGGAAGAACCAGTCTCATACGTGTCCAGCTTGAAAACAGTGGTGGCTCTCCTACTGTACGCCACAAGGGCCACTTGAGCCACGTCGCGGTTGATGTCGAACTGGACGGTGATGCTGCGCACAAAGTTCTGCAGGGTGGCAAAGTTATCACGGCCCACACCACCTGAAGCATCCAGGGCAAACACCAGATCTACAGCTTGACCCAGACAACCTGGAAAAGAAAAGGAAAGAAAAAAAAAGAATATGGATAGCTAATTTGATTTTTTTTGTGTGCAATAGTATCTGACCTAACGGTGGCATTAATGTTCCAACATATTCAGCACATCTATCAGATCAAGTACCTTGCGTATCCACGCTGCAAATCTTGGCCCTCAGCTCAGGAATCTTGGAAGCGAGCCTATCAGGTGATGAGTAGGTGAGGGTCCTCTGCGGATTTCCTGTGATGTTATTCAGCTGCTCCTTTAAGCTGTCAGGTCCCACTCCTATCAGGAAGATCTCTCTGTCTCGTGCATATTTAGACGGCTCAACCACCTCATCTGCGGCAGGAGTGGCGGTGAGCAGCACCACCACACGGGGAAGGTCGTCCGCGACATCGGCAAAGACCGGCGCGCTCATAAAGCCATGGCGGGTAACATAGCGGAGGGCCTGCCCCGTGTTTGCTTCACCACCAATTAGCTGAAGTGAGTACACAGCCTTAAGAAGACTCCTCAGGTCTCCTTTGAACTTGCCAACCTGGGCCTCGACTCGTGGTTCCCCGCCAAACACCGCCAGGCCGACCTTGCTGGGACTGTTAGAGCCAATCACAGTCTGCAGGAAGCGCTTTAAGAAGGACTTCAGGCGGAGAAAGCCTTCCAAGGTGAGTGTGGCAGAGCCCTCCAGCAGGAAGAGCAGGTCTACAGAGCAGTCCAGCAATAATGCAGGAGCTAAGAAGGAATGGATGGTTTGGTTAATTTGCTCTCTACGTTTAAGATCCGACATAGCCTTAGCATGTAGTCAGCAGCTTTGAGTGTACTGACCACAGTGTGGGTCTCCTCCGTAGCCAGGAGGACACACGCAGTGGTAGCCCTCTGAACCTTCTGATACACATGTTCCACCATTCAGGCATGGCTGAGAATCACAGGGATCTACAGCGGAGAGAGAGATGAAGAGCGTGAGCTGCAGATACCGCATCTCAGAGAAGTAAAAAGCGGCAAGACGAGGTTGTTACCCGGACAAATTGTTCTATGGCAGACTGTCTGGTGTCTCGTATAAACCTTGTTGTACCTGTAACACAAAATTCAAAATATTTTGTTAGCATTTAAAACAGTTGCTTCTAGATAGTGTGATGTGGGTAAGTTCCTGACCCCCATAAGCCATTCTCTGATTTTCCCTATTAGGTAACAGAAACACATTATCTGAGCCCCACCCATCAATTGATTCATATAATAAGTGGCCAGAGGCATTTTAGATTTGCCAGTCATGCAAATTGCTAGCACTCATCTAGACAGTTTCAGGTACTAGAAACAGCACACACCTTATTTCTTTTCTCTGCTTTTCCCCCCAAAAAGTAGTTTTACCTTGAGTGTAATGGTCTACTTCCACTTGCCTCGGGCCATTTTGCTGTGGTAAAGTTGCAATGTTGTGTGAAATTAATTTTGTCAAAGGCCATTTTAATTTTGCCTGGGAGGGTCTGAAAGAATTTCACTGCTGTAGCTTGTTTTGTATTAACACCCTCACACTGACACAGCACATTAACACATGGGAGTTACCCTGTTCCACTGCTGTCTTGTGGCTCATTGAGCAATGAGGGGGGAAAAAAACACTGTTACACACTTAGATCCAATGCAACATCCAAAACAGATCATATTAGGAAACTATACAGTGCTGTGCTAAAGTCCTGAGCCACCCCACGATTGTGTTGTCTCGACACAGACAACTTAGCATGCTGTACAGTTTCAGGTTAAAGAACTGTTAAAGAATTGAGAAATCTGGATAAATAGGAGGACAAAAGAAGTAGTGACACATCTAAAAAAGAAACAACTATCTACAGCAGATGAGCCGTGTCTCAAAGTCACATCGTTAAGAAATAGGAAAAGAAAACTGAGCAAAGACATGACACATGACATGAACCTTTCTTGCCTATAAGAGTTCAGGTTGTGTTTTTGTGTTTTTCCATTTATGCACATGTTAAAATAAACCACTGCACCAACATTCCTAGCAAAGTTTAAGACTTTTGCACAGTACTGTATACTGCAGCTACAACATTTGAAAGTAAAACCTTTAAACACTTGCCTGTAGTAGGGACAGAGAGATGTGTATGGGGAATAGCCTTTGGAACCTTTCCAACACATGTAGTTCCCCTGCAGCTCTTTAACTGTCTCCAGTGTCTTCCTCTCACAGGGAAATGTCTCCATCCGACAGCCTGGAGAACAGGGTTGAGACAGGGGTTAGGAGAAGACTGGACACTGAGCAATGAAGGACTAGAAAAAAGGGAGTAGTGCAGCACAAAACAAGGATGTTAGAGAAAAGGATTCCCATTCACTTCTTTAACCAACAAGCATGAATAGTTGTCAGTGGGAAGTCCAACCTGCGGGTGTGGCGTTGCAGAAAGAGAACGTGCTCAGTGTTGTGTACAGGCCATTGACACCATCATGGAAATGTTCGGCGAGGAAAACGTGGCTCTCTGTTGGCTCACTGGCTAAAGCGTGAAGCTCCTCCCATCTGAAAACATATAGAGATGGCTTAGTATATAAAGAAATGTACGCATACTTTAATGAATTATAGGGAAAGTTTATTGTGGAGCTGTCAAACATACTTGGGGTAGCGCAAGCCCACAGCAAACACAACCACGCCTGTGTCTTTGAGCTGAGCAGCTGCCAGCACCGAGTTGCCCTGAGATCTCCCATCTGACATCAGGATGACGATGCGAGGCACACTGGACGAGTTACGACCGCCTGGGAAACCCTTCCTGAGAATGTACTTCAGAGCCAGGCCTGTCTGGGTGCTGCCTCCCCTGTGGGTAGAGAATTCGGAAAAGGGAAATAGCAGGATTTCTGTGTTTTTGTTTGAAAAATACTGAGGAGTTAGAGCGCATGTGCTGTACTACAGCAGATGTCAGCAAGGTCAATAAACTGCTGCATATCACAGCCAACATAAACTAAAGATTACATTTGGATGGATTTCTCTTTAAGTTCTTGGACTCTAAATGTATGTTGGCTACGTTTCATCACCCCAGGCCTCGTGACACACATTTAAATCATTTTCGGTTTTGTTTTTGTTTAACATAAATGTCCATCCTTTCATTTTCAAAGTGTAGACACTGAGAAAAAGATCCTTTCCAGGTGACAGAAGACAGATGTGTTGAAACAAACGCTACAAGTGGCTTCCTCGCCAATCTAACCTCCTTAGAACAGATCTGTGTGAGCATATACTCCACAAATATCTTCAAAATATTGAAACTAAGAAACTTGCGCTTCTTTGAACTACAATAATCTCAAACAACAATGTGAACAAAAACACATCTGCATTTAAAGCAGCTTTCAGTTGCTCCCTTGTCATTAAGCGTCACCAGCTAGGTCTGCACATTTGATTTGGCAGCATTTTATGCCAGATGCCATTTCTGGTGAAACACCACAGAGATTTGTGTTGCCTGCTGAACTTGAACTGCAACCTTTTGCTTGCCAAATGAATGTGTTAAGCACTTAACTACATGACTTTTACTGGTAATAATCAGAGGTTAAAGTGGGCTGGAGCAATTCTCTACTCAGCAACTGAAACGTTTTTGACTGAAATTTTAATTTTAATTTTAGATGTAATGCCCTAATTCAGAGTTTCTGAGAGATTGGATCTATTATGATGATTAGCTGAACTGGCCGAATGGAATATGACAATTTCGCGTCATTAAAGGTTGCATGAAAATATGGGCAATTTATTGTAGTTTTCAGAACTAGAATAAAGTTTACAGTGATGTGCTATATTGGAGTGATCAGTTTACTGTAATTAGGTTACATCAAAGGTAACAGATAATACTTTTTTTGCTACTTTAATCACTGGTAATAATGATAATAATGCAATAAATCCAATAAAAATGCATAAACACTAAAATACCCAATGTTACCTTAAGTTAAACTTCCCTTCTGGAGTTCTCTAACATTTCCAAAGTTGCTATAACATTTCTACTGATGCTGAGTCTGTTGCTATTTTGTGGTAATGTGACTGGTTATAGGTTTCAATTCTATGTACCCACTTCAAACCAGCTAGTGGGTCAAACTGTTACTTCCACATTGTGAACAACACACGCACACACACACACACACACACACACACACACACACACACACACACACACACACCTGGTCAAATTACCATCCTCTTCCTCGGTTTATGCACTTATCCAATATCCAGTGACCACCTGTGGAGGGCCTCTAATCTGAAATTAATTTGTTTTTCTTTTCAGGGAGCATTTGGTGCTACTGAGCCACATGTGTGGATGTGTACGTGTTTTGCCGTCAGCATAGTTTAAGGGATTTGTAAAATATAAGATGAGGACAAGAAAATGTTGCCAGTCTGGATATGTTCGACCTAATTCTATCACCTTTTTTATTCATTTACTCTTGGATTTGTTTTCTTAAACATGACAGTCTGCTTTTAAAAACATCCCTCCAACAGGGACATACCATTTTGTTAGCACTAGGTCTTTTTTTTCAGCTGTCAAAATAGATGAACTACTGAATCTTCTGTGGCAAATATAACACACGCATACAGTTTTGTGATCTCAGTCTGCACTAACAGCATCTTGCGCTTCCAGGCCGGTTGATAACAATGGAAACGCTGGAAGAAAAAATAAAGAGGACGCCTACCAATTTAGGCTCTCTGTTTTCCCAATCAAAGAAAGCTGTGAGCCACAAATGTTTTGACTCCATCCTTAGAAGTGTTGCTTGCTAATTAAAATCTTAAAATAATGTCGCCTGCTTCTCCAGTGAGCGCAGATGATTTAAAACAGTTAATTTCATAATGGATGTCAAAAAGAGCCTGTTTAGACACATTTTCCACATTTCTTTAAAGCTTTCATTGTTCCGGATCCTTCATAGTTATAACTCATTAATATACAAAACCAAACTTAAGTTAAAGGCTTGAGTTCACATATTAAACTACTCGTGCTCAGATGGCAACAGAGACACACCTGTAAGAAATGCTCTTTATCTGCTTCTTCAGCTCCTGCTTGGTGGAGTATGAGTCCAGGGTAAACTCAAGCCGAGGAGTTAGGCCAAACTGAATTAAACCAACTCGCACCTGCACAGGGAGAAATTAGAGCACTGAGTGACAGGATGTGAAGACGGCGAGAAACAAGATATCAACCCAAACCTTATCTGGTCCGATGTCTAGTGCTTGACAGAGTTTGATCGCATAGTGTTTGGACCTCTCGAAGCTGCCTTTCCCGACGCTGTAGGAACCATCCATGAGGAAGAGAATATCCATGGCTGCTGAGCACTGCATCACTTCCCATTAAAGCAAACACACACAGAATAATTCACACAGAGGGTACAGACAAAGATGGGTCAATAGGTCCAAACTCATTCACTAGCTCCCCCATAATTCTGTATTATATTGGTTTTCCTGGCTGGGTATCAAATGGGCCGTTGCAGACAAAAATAGTATCTAGACATAATAAGAGAAAACAAACTCTGCATGTCAAAGCTCATTTTATTTCCTTATATTTTCCCTTTCACACATTAAACTACTACCAAGCGAAAAGCTTCCTCTCTCTTTCATGCACGTTTGTACTTGCTGGGTGCATTAGCTGATTATGAAAAGAGCCATTAGGGGCACATTACACGTGCAGCGTGTGCCATCTGTCTGTCATTTGAGTCATCTGCTTATAGAAAAGTCACATACACCACTGACACAGACCAACAACTTCTAAGTATTTCTGTCTCACAATTTGTTATCCATTTCTGATATAGGATCTCTGGCTCATTTACTGTGTGCTGCTCAGCTGACTTACATCCAATTACAAGCATGCAGGTTGACATCATGTCCAAGCATGTCACAACAATTCCTAGCACCAACACTCATGTGAAAAAAAAACATTTTTAAGCACACCACGTGATTCAGTAGATTGTAAAACTACCTTTAGCAGCAGTAACTTGAAGTAATTTTTTGTAAGAATTTATCTTTTTTTTACGTGATTGTGGAAGTATTTTGGCTCATTGTTGTTAACAACGTTGCTCCGGTTAATTAAAATTTGCTTATTTGCTTATTCACAGCTTGAGGGTTTGTCTGGGCCACTTAAGTGTCTTGATTCTCTTGTTTTTAGCCATTCTGTTGTAGATTTTGCTCTTCTATTGATCTTTATCTTGCTGCATGACCCAATTTGGACCAAACATTACCTGTTGGACAGATGGCCTCACATTAGGCTGAATACTTTGAGTCACTGACTCATGGTTGAGTCAATGACTACAAGGTACCCTGGTCTCATGGCAGCAAAGCAATCCTAAATCATCACTCCTTCACCTCTGAGTTTGACATGTGGCAAGAAATGTTTGTGCATTGTGTATTATGACCAAACATCTCCACTTTGGGCTCATCTGTCTAGATGCAAACCTAAGCTGTGCTGTTATGTTCTTATTAGTGACACCTTTTATCTAGCAACCCTTCCAAAAAAACATACTTGTTGTGTCTTTTTGTAATTGTGATATCATGAAGTTTAACATTTAACATGCTAACTGAAGCCTGTAGAATGTGAGATCTAGTTCTCTGGTTTTATACAGTTTCTAAGAGGATTGCGCAGTCAGATCTTAGGTTGAATTTGCTGGGCATCAACACACACCTGAATGCTCCAAACCACAGAACTGCCAAAACTGCTGCTTTTGCAGAGGTGACCCCTGATGATCAAAAAGTCAAGTGCCTGGCTGCTACTTACCCATGGAAGCAGTGCTTCGTTTTTCACATGACTGTACATTTTATGTGTTAACCATTTTGTAAGGTACTCACTTTCTCCTGCAGAGTTGATTTTCACAATGTTCTCATGGCTGGTTTGAATCTCCTGCACAGAGGTGCTGTGCTGAACTAGCAGGCACCAACAACACAGAGAGCAGTCAGATATTTATTCAGTCTTTATTTATTCACCTACAGCCACAGTAAATTTACATATGAAGCACTAACCTGTGAGAGAGAGGCCAAAATAACTTGGAATAAATTAGAAATAGGTGAAACGTGGCTTATTACACATTTAACTGATTTTCTAAATGTGTCTAGACTACTGTAATCTAAAAGAACATATTCAAGCTTAAAACATTTAGGGTCCGGATCTCCACAAGGTTTCAAATACTTATAAATCTGAGGGTTTGCAAAATTATCATTGCAATTTCAATTTGTTTATATCTTAGTTTTAGTTGGATCCTCACCAGCTCCCATTAATAGTCACAATTTTTCATCAGTTTCAGATTCACAAAATACTTCATATAAAAAACATGCTCTGACCTGTAGACCATTACTCTTCACGTTAACTTTATTTATTGTCATTGTTCAGACATCCTATAGAGCCGTGAGAAAAGTAAAATATCCAATAAATTGGATGTTTTCCCTAAAGCCAAAATAGACTCCCACATGAGCCCTATTCTAATGGATAATTGAGTATTTCAAGCTAATGTGAGCAGACAAGTGAAGAAAACCATTCTTTCGCTCCATTCAGTCAAAGGACGCTCTTCTATTCAGGCACACGTACGGCTCAGAGGAGAGCAAGGACATGTTTTCGTGTGAACATGGCTTTTTGTCCGACGGAGGCATTTGTTCGGCACAGAGAAGGGAGCACTTGAGTGATTTTACAAACGTGCGTTGCCACGCTGAACAGATTTCACACTCTGAATACCACGGTGCTTCTTTTCAGTCAGAAAGAAAGTGTCAGTTTGTTCTCCCGTAATGCTTCAGGCTGTCCGTGTCTTGCTGATTTAGTGCCTGCACATCAGCTAAAACAGGTGATAAAAAGTCAAACAAGCCGAACGATAAAGCGCAACCGAAAACATCAAAGAAAGGTTGCATGTGCAAAAGTTTGATGGGATTATTTAGTGCCGACATTGGCTTTGTCCTCATATTTTGCACTCATATTTCTGTCACTGATGTTGTCCGGTGAGAGGTGAGGAGAAAAATACTGGCTGACGTTGATTTCTTTTTTCTTTTAAACATGATTTTTTTGGGCCTTTTTGTCTTTGTTAGATTGGCAAAGGGAAGAATAGACAGTTGGATAGTAATCCACTAATTGGAAGGTTGGTGGTTTGATTCCTGGCTTCTCCAGTCTGCATTACAAAAGTATCCTTGGGCAAGACGCTGAACTCCAAGTTACTTTCCGATATATACATGTGTGTAAATGTTAGAAGAGAAAGAACTTGCATGAATACGGCATGTTGTGTAAAGCGCTTTGAATGCGCAAGAAGGGCATGAACTAGTTTGCAGAGAATACTGTTCTTCCAGAGGAAAGAAGGGAGCCAGCTTAAGTCAGGGTGTCAAGACTTTCGCAAACTCACCACTAACCTTGAGTCCTTTTTATTATTTTTGACAACCTTTGTTTAAATTTGATTTCTTTGCAGGCTGCCACGGATTATTAATGGTGAAATGCAACATGCATTTAGCAAAAGACGTGTCAATGGTTGTAAAAAAAAATAAAGGGAAAGTATGCAACATATAAATAATAAAACCAATTCATTTTTTTATTGTTACATTTTGAGCACAACTAAAACTCTGAAGTGGCAATAATATAATTTTTTAAAGCTCATGACTTTATTTTGTTTTTCTTCAACCATTCATTCATAGGAGTAAAGGCCTTCATCGGGTCATGAAACATTAAGCACAACACTAATAATTAAAGAAACCTGCCACCTGCAAACCAGACCTCTGCTCTCCGACCTCTCCACAATCCTGACCCTTTCAGCTTCCTCGAATTCCAACAACGCCGCAGCCCCAAAGCACTCCTGACAGTGGACGTTTAGGTTCTTGGCAAGCGGCGTTTTCACGGTCAGTGTGGGGCCCACAGTGCTCTGAACAAAACATCTATCTGTTCAGCCGAGCGACTCTAGCAGAATGACTGTATCTTTAATGTGTGTGAAAGACGATTTAGCAGAAAAATCAGGAACAAGATAATAAATGCAAACCCTGCAGCTGAAAGGTTGATGTCAATTGGTATCAATCCCACTACAATCTGGGAGATAAACACAATATCTCCCTGAAATCAGAAAAAATAACAGGGATTAGCCTGCCCCTATCTGTGGAATTCAATTTGACAGGCTGGATTACATGGATATCTTGCACTGAAACATGTTATCTGTGTTGTCAGCGTGTCGTCTCTTGACAGGGTAAGACAGTCTGGTGTGCTCAAGTTCAAAGTCTTAAAATGACCTATAATAAATAGTTAGGATGGGGCTAAAGCTGTCATTTTTGAAAACAATTCAAGGATTATATTGCCCCACTACTCCTGCCTCTTCCCTCAGGCACATACCGATGGACTCTGGTCCACGGGAACAATGCAATGGAAGAGATGCAAAGTTTGCCTCACAAAACAAGCAGCATGTCAAGCACACGCGGCAGGAAAGCACTTTGATGCGAGACTTGACAGGTTAAAGCTGTAAAATGTCTCGTAAAGAATCTCAGGTGGTCCAGAGGCGCTTCAGTGATTCACCGCACATTTTCCATCAAGCAGGGCATAAACTTGGGCCTTAAATGTTCTCACAAGCACCAACGCAATGAACATTTTCAACACTATATTTACAAGAACATTAAACTTTTCCTGAGCAAAAACAACCATAACCATCAGTACATACCTAATATTAGCATTTATTCCCAATGCTAGCCCTGACACAGCGCTGTATCCACTGACTTTTATTTACAAAGCATCCATAATGCGCAAGCAGATATTCCAAAATAGTACTTAAAACACTCCTCCCACTCTGAGGCACAGAAGGCAAAACAGTAATATCATCAATAAACCGACCTTGAAAAAGCAGCACAGTTAAGAGGGAGGAGAGGCAGATATGAAAGTTCATCCTGGGACGCCTGGAACGACAACAAAAGGGACACTTAGCCAGAATGCAAAGTAAAAGCACTAAAATGCACATATATCTGTTTTTTTTTTCTTGTTCACGAGTGAAAGCCTTCTGTTATTCTCAAGGTGAAATAGACTTTAGCAATATAATCCATCAGACAGACAAAATGTCAGAGACACTGGCAAAGGAGCCAGAAATTGTGAGAAAGTTTTTTTGTGAGCCGTTTTTGTGTTATACAGAAAACCACTTAAGCCTTGACACAATTCAGGAAATGTGCTATAGTGCTAGCCAAGGGACATGAGGACAAGTCTGTGTAACCCTACCAAGTAAAAATGAAAAAGTCATTAGCAACAGGGCACAACTACATTCGATCAGGGGTGCCAGGGGGTAAGTAACCCAAGACTGACTGCACTGTTACCATATTTTCATAGCTGTGTAGCTAAGTGGTTGAACTTTGGCCTTTCGAAGAGTGTCCATAGAGAAAAACCAGGGTGGTTGTAAAAACATTTTAAAATATTTTCATACTATGCCTTAATAATTTTTTCCTCAAACTTGATTCTGGGATCTACCTTTACTCTCATCAAGTTCACCGTTCTCAGTGTGGGAATGACCCTAAACGTCCAGACATAATTTAGGTCTGTTTTGGTATTATTCCCCTGGGAAAAGTGGCCTAACAGCATAATGTTGCCCTCAGGCAACAAACCACTAAATTCTATTTTGGTTATTAAATTAAAACAAAACCTAATACACTTCTTCAGATATTCGTCTACATGCCCAGAATTTTTTATTTAGTTATTTCAACTAATTTTACAGTGTAATAATCAAAAACGTATGTGCCATTCTGAGAGACAGGACAGGACAACTGAGCATCGTTTAAAAGCTACAGGCTACCGGAATATTGTTGCTGACCATGTCCGTCCCCTTAAGACCACAGTGTCCCCATGTTGCAAAGCTCAGATCAAACTGGATCCTTGAATATAACAATACTCAGCACACGTAACTGCACTCAACTGGCCTCCAGAGTCACCAGCTCTTAATTCAGAAAAGAACTTTTTGGGATGTGGTGGAGCGAGAGATTCACATCGTGGATATACAGCTAACAAATGTGAAGCAACTGCATCATGCAATTGCTGCACATTTAATAAAGTGGGTCTAAGCCAGTACCAGCCAGGTGTACCTAATAAAGTGGCCAGTGAATGTAACTCACTTAACAAAGGTGTCTTGATACCAGCATGTATACATGCTGGTATCAAAAGAATAGGTTTAAAAAGAATCCCATACATTCCAAATGAAGCTCTTCAAGCAGGATGTAAACTACTTTGGATGTGTGTGGGGGGGGGATTCCAACAAGATGCGAGCTATGTAAATATGTGTGTTTGAGAGTGTAATCTATGTTTACCACAGTGGTCACCCAGGAGCTGGGATACCAGAATATGCTGACATAGCCCCACAGCCATCTACAAACCCACTGATTATGATTTGATTACACATGCCAACTGTTAAGCAAGCATACAACCTGACCTCAGGTTAGCCGCACCATTACAATGACAGTCACATGTTGTCACTGTTTGATACACATACAACATTAAGGGGGATGCATATAATATCTGATTAACTCTGGGAGCTGATAAGCAGGGCTAAAATATCCTTCCTGTGGCTGAAAAGACTGTGTGTGGTCCAACAGGTATGCATATTATAGAGACTAATATCTCCCTAGAAAGTAGTGCCTTATACGGGCATTCCTTTCTTATGGGGACAAAACACAACACTCCCTAAAGGCAGTGGCCTTTAAAGTAAAGACTGCTTTAAGATTAGCAAAAGGTTAG